AAGGGGTGTTACAGAATGGAATAAAATAGTGCATAAGGTCGGGACGTTTACCGAGAAGGGCTTATCTGCGGTGCTGCTTCGTCAAGCACGGAACTCAGCTGCGAAGCCATTGCGTAAAACTCGCGCTACACGCAGCCCTACCGTGCTTGTCGTGGGCTCTGTTAAGTGGGGGACGGTGTCAACCGGTTTTATCTGGTCAGAGTGTCACAGACCTCGTCTGGGTTCCTCGTGGATTTGTGTTTTTTGGCTGCACTGTCATCGGTAGAAACTGACTAAAAAGGGCTAATTTTCAGTGTGCAAATGTTCCGGTCGACAGCCTGGCTTTGCCTGAAATTTGCAGTTACGGTCACCTGCTCTGCCACAATGTCTCTGCTTTACAGATCTGGATACCAACCTGGATTTGCATGATTATTGTGGAAAACGATCAGATGTGACTATCTAGCCGCGCCTGAGATGAAAAAACCCCAGCCGCCTGTAATACGGGACCGGTGGTGATAGGGGGTTTTTACAGGTGGGGGCGGGTAACGCACAGGCGACAAGGTCAAGTACTTGTACGCAAAAAAACTATTCGAGAATGCGTGGTTGCACTTTGAGTGGTTGGGAACTAGGTGCCTTAACCCTTAACCGCAGCCCTAGTCCTGAAACATCCAACGTGAAAGTTAGAAGGAGACGACAGGCCAAAAGTCAAGAAGGACCACTGGCATTGGACCGATAAAGGTAGATACGGCAGCAAAGAAACAAGGCCACCAACAGACCTTACGCCGCAATGCACAGCAACACCGCGCCAACGGGATCACACCAACTCAAAATAATTCAGTAGGTAAACAGTATTGTGTCCGTCAGGTGCGGCTACATAACCACATCTTACCTGGAAAACTAGAAACGGGGTAGGTAGAAGGCGCCTGGGCCTCTCAACCCACGTGAGTTTTAGGTCTAACGAGGGAGCGGTGAATGTGGATGTGCCTTTAGCTACCTGGCTGCTGCATTTTGAAACCCTTATCGTTGACTTGATGTTGCTCTGCTCCTGTTAGATCTAGACTTCTTCCTTCACCTCGAAAACCTTCCACAGCTTTTTTGTGTGGTGTGGCAAGCCACAGTTCACAAAAGAGGTACTTTGCACATTCAGTTAACGTTACGGTGGCTAGGATGATGATGGCTATGTCATCATTGGGACTGGTGTTTTTCAGGCGGAGGAAGAGTCCTGTGTTAATGATAATGATGCTGAAGGCACTATTTTTTACGTATAGTCTGTAGGATGAGAGGTGTTGCCATCCCACTCATAGTAATGTAGTGGTGGTGATGATGATGATGATGATGATGATGATGATGATGATGATGATGATGATGATGATGATGATGATGATGATGATGATGATGATGATGATGATGATGATGATGATGATGATGATGATGATGATGATGATGATGATGATGATGATGATGATGATGATAGCTCGGTTCATCCAGACGGCGGCAGAACCAGAAACCTTGGCCTTGTCCACCTCTACACCGGTAGAGGGGGGAATTAAATGAGACTTTGACAGTTTCCTTACCTATATGGTTCCAATACTATTGCTTCGGGTAATCTTGAAGGCAAAATTATGCACATGGGTCGTAGGCATTTAAAAGTTTTATATGTATCTTTCTGCACCCCAAATAGCGCGGTCCTGAGGCAGGCTCTCTCTCTCTCGCTAGACCAAAAGTCCCACACGGCTGTCAATTGAGCGCCTCCCATATTTTTTCAGTGAGGCAGCAATTGCAGGGAAAACTCGGCGGGACCGGCTCAGTGGCAGCGGATTTACTAAAATCCCATTCACTTACCGAGTGTAGCGTCTCAAGTGAAAGAGGCTGAAAATTAATCGCTTATCTATCGGCGTTCCGATTATCAAATTATTCTCAGATTGCCGCTTGGAGTATGGAAGGGGACCCCTCGTAAGTGGGGACTGTAACCTTTGAGAAAAGGACAAGTTCAAACACCTCGGCGGGTTTATGTCAAACGAAGTGCATAAGCGGAATACCGCCCCCCAAGTAAATGCCTCTAGGATATTTTCTGCATGTCGTCGAAGATGGCTACGGACCTGTCGCGATACCTCTATCGCCATGAAGGTGCCCATATACCGAACATCCATTTGGTCGCTTCCCCGATACCGTCATAGATGCCAGGTTTTGCACATAGAAGACCAATAAAACGAACGGTTTCCGATTGCCGTTTACTCGAATACGGTTCTTTTCATGCAGTAGTATGACTTAGTCGTGAACCAAATGACCAGCACTCGCTTCGACAGGGTTGCAACGACTTCTCACACCATCTACTAGAGAAGGCTGCCGTCGCTCCTCCCTTGAACACAGTTCCGTCGTCATACGTCTGACGCTACTGTCAATGGAGATGAGGTCAGCCCTTGGTTCACAATGGACACTGACCAAGAGTTTACACCAAGAAAATGGGGGGGAGCGTTAAGGGCTCCCCTTGGCGAGATGTGAACCTGCAAATGGATGTGTCCTATAACCCAGGATTTCGGCATTTGTTATGCGTACGCATTTCCAGCAACGCCCAACGGGCTCCGATCTAGCCCCCCTGTTGGTTCAGCGTGGCCCATTTTAGGGACAGACAAAACTAGGCTGCCTAGGATGTTTGGCGAGGATCTTATGCCTTGTTCAGCATCGTCCTTAATTCGAGGGGTGGCGAGTAAGCTGGTAAAGAACAAAACAGCATTGACGGCCAAACATTTTCATGCTTCCCAGGGCGCAATGACATGTGAGATCCAGCCGTCCAAGGAGCCCTAGAAGCCCATTTGTAGTCGTATGCTGGAGGAATAGAATCCAATGGATATACCTAGTGGCGAGGCGATGGCATCAAAACGCCCAGCTACTATGCATAAATCGAAATGCCAGATCTAGCTTACGTTTTCAGTAAGATTCAGGGAGATTTTTAAAAAACTGATTTCAACTTCTAAATTTTCAAAACCAAATCTTTCCTAATTGTTTTGTGTTTCTCGAACTTGAAGCGACAGAACAGCCAACTACCTCTTTCCCTGAGCTGCCAGTCTTTCCTTGATGATATTGCGTGTAAAAAGTTTAGTTTAACTGAGGAATTTCCGCAGGACGCAAAACACTGAATGTAATGGTTACCGTTATAGAAGTCATTTTGTGCATCTCTGATCTAACACCTTCCTATGACCCATTAGCTGATGTGTTTTTTTGCCGTTCTTATTTGCACAGGCCTATTTATGCAGCGGAGATAAGAAATGACAACTAGCCCTTGTTCAGTGCTTCGTTTTGAAAGGACTAGTGTCACTACAACGGACATCCCACCAATCCCCAACCGTTCTCTACAAAGTAGATCGTTTCGGCAGATAGCGGCAGTCCAGGCAGAGAAGAGTTCTAGCTGTCCAGTTCGAGTATCCTGAGACATAAATTTGCGAAGACGGCAGAAATATCTAAAAGTGCTGTAATTGCATTAATTAGTCTCGTGAGTTTGTGCTAAGAAATTAGCAAACCTAAAGTTACACTCGCGATTAGTTCAGGCCGCCGACTTTTGTGATCTTTTTGTTCTAAACTTTTAGTTCATCGCCGGGGTTTTTAATATGTTCAAAATCAGAGAGGTAGAGTGGGCAAATTTCATCAGGGCTGGTCCAAAGCTATCATGACGCCTAATGAAGTCACTATTGGCCTGTATAATAATGGAAACGGGAGAGGCAACAGGGATCACCACTCATTTTCTGCTGCATTCTCTTTGGGCAAATTTACTCGATGCTTTTCTACGTCGAGCAACATATGGTACTGAGTGAATATATTTGCATCCTTTTGGCTTTAAGAACTACCCGTTACAGAACGACCTTGACCAAGTTGTCTTACAGAAGTAGAACTGCTCTGTAAATTCATGAGCTTCGGAGGGACCCTCATCAGTCGAGAGGGATTTTGGCTTGAACTTCTAGAAGTCACAGCAGCTGGCCTATCTCATGAAATCTTGACCGAAATTCTCAAATGTGCTTTCAACTAGAAGGCATCTCTTAGGTGGGTTTGAAATATTGACAATCGTGCAACGTAATTAAAAGTGCTTTAATAGCGTCAGGATACCGACTTTTGAGTGAGCTTCTTTTTCGATCATCTGCTTATGTAGAATCTATTTGCCCACTGAGTTCCAATGTCTGTATAAATTCAATTATGTTTTAGAGAAATCCACACAAAGAAAATTTGTCCTGTACACCTTTGGTAGCAACTTACGTCTTATTTAGAGTTTCTACTGGAGGAAAGGGTATTTTACGGATAAAATTTATTTTCAAACTGGCACACGAAATAATGTTTTAATCCACGATTTTAAATGTACGCCTGAATTTACCAGGACATCGAAAATCAGCAAGAATAAAGCGCACTAATTAAGCAGCCACTTTTTACCGAGTGTGGTACTTACAGGCGGCGGAAAGAGGCTAATTCCGAAGCCGGCATCTTAGCGGGACTAAAATATTTTGGGATCCTGTTGCATGCTAACCAGACTTAAAACCCCACTCAAGTAATCCTACCTAAGCAAAAATATATGCCAGTTTCTTGGTTAACATTTAATGAAATGGACCAGCTATTGTGGAGTCAGCCTGTCGTCCAGATTTTGCTAATCTTGCCATGAAAGCCAGGTATGCCTGGCATTTTAAGTCAAATGTAGTGACATTTAACGGAATCCTTGTTCCTGGCTGCGTCCTACGACAGCGCTGCAATCTTCTTCACTTTTTTTAAACCGGTGACACAACAGCATCAACGAAAAGGCCATTCCCTACGGAGAAAAATTGGCCTAATTCCAGGCAGAATTCTGCACACGGAGTTCTCCGGTTCTTGGTCCCTGGGACAGCTCCTTACTTGAATATTTCAGCGCTGCTATCTTTAGACGAATATTCACTGCCGGCGGTCGAGGAAGCCCACCGCGGGAAACAAGGGTAGCTATCTTTTTAAGTCATTGCGATGGCCTGACTGAATTGTCACTAAAAGTTGGTGTGCATTACCCCAACAACGCAGCCTTTAGGGACTACGGGTGAATGCCTCCAGCAGCTCTTCAGTCTCTGTGAATAACCTTTACGAGAGGCCACATTCATGATAGTTGTCCAAGTTAGATTACTAAAAGTCAGCTTGCTTATGCGGATTTCTGTTGTCCAGCTGGACTTTCTAGTCGCAACGAACCGCTTGCTGATCTTGAATGCACTACAAGTGCGCACATTGACGCTATCCTCCAGTCTTCCCGCGGAATGTTTATCCTAAAATTGAGAATAAATGGAGATAGTAAACATTAAAGGCTTTTTCCCTTTGATGCTGTCTTTGCTCACGGATCAAAATGTCCGCTGCTCTGATGGGCCAGAAGACGTATTTCTTCCAAAAAGATAACGAAAATCAACGAGAGTCATTGGAGTGGAACACAATAACAAACAGAATCCTATCACCTTGGTCAGAAAAATTCGAAAGAGAGTAAGGGTAGGCGCCAAATAGGAATTTCCTTTTGTTTCTTGAAGACTTTCGGCAGCACTTGACTGGACGCGGGAACATGGAACGCTCCCCGTACTGCAGGTGTCCGTGCGCTAAAATACAGGCGGTACCTGCTCCCCTGGCCTGACTGCAACCCCAACCCTCATGGTAGCTCTAAACCTAACCTTTAAGAACTTTGCGTAAGGTTACCTGCAACACACGGGCCCCTATTCCATTCTCGTGCCTTCTGTAATATTCTCTTTACTTTAGAGGCTATCAAATGTCTGCTTTCCAAAATGTAAACGGATGATTTCCGTGTTTGAGCGCTTTCCAGACAGGGCAGTTATCAAATAAGTGTTAGCTGAAGCTGAAATTCCCTAGGGCTTCCACGTTCTAACCAAGGTCTGTTAGAATACATGTGAGTATCGGCGTTGCGATTGTTTATGTCTCTACCTGCCATAAAGCACTGAGGCATTATCATGCCCAACCACGGTAGCTTACCTCATAAGCACGTAAAAGTATTAAACCCCTGCGCTCAGTACGACGTCTGTATTTGGGCAATTTAACAGAAGTGTTGTGTCTGGACTGGTCTGCGATAAACAAATTGGTAGTTTATTTGTCGGCCAGACTTATTAGTATGTTGTGCGTTAACGGACGGTCAACTAACTACTAATATTTTGTATTTCGTGTTATTTTTTATAATTTTTCCCTTTTATGCAATTCCCTTCTTTATCCCTCGTTGTGTTTAGCCCCAAATGTTTGGCCGGCAATATACCCGTTTTTAAGTCCTGGTTTCGGATAAAAAAACCACTTTTCTGGCTAATCAGTAATAATTTACAACGAAAACCATGCCTTCTTTTGAGGAAGCGTCGTTTTTTTAATAATGCCGAACTTTAAACGACGCGCGTGGACAGATTTTGTGCGATGCGGATATCCTTGCGGACTCCATGACATGGTACCAGCTACGCCACCTGCTGTGTGATGGCGGATGCGCTGGCAGCAAAACACATAAGCAACTATGTCCGTAGACAGAAAACCGTAGCCTTAAGGACTGTGAGTGTCTGCAAACCTCGCAGCCTCGTGC